ATTTTATTATTTATTAAATTTTCTTAGTTTTCATTTTAAATAAAAATAAAGTTATATCTACCCCAAACTGGCTATTCTACTTGTTGCTCTTTACACAGGCCTATCTATTTATCTACATTGGGATTGAGCACTGGTAATCCAGATTTAGTGATCCTGAAAAGTTCCTATCCGGATCAGATTGATCCAATCCGATGTTGCTTTGAAAAACTGGCTCAAAAAGTAAGCTGGATTACGTTATCACGGATCGCAAAAACAGGATTACTAAATCCAGATCAATTTGATGCGGATTAAACCTTTTGAAAAACCGGGCCCAGGGCCCGGTTTTTCAAAAGTAATCCACTAGGATTTTGGATAAGGGATTGGATCAAATCTTGAAAATGGGTTTATCAATAGAAAAAAACGGATTACCTAATCGGATTAGATCACGTAATCTAATCTTGGTTTTGATCCGGATCAAACCTTTAGTTTGGGTTTTTCAGACCTTTTTTGTAGGATCTGGATCACTTTGATCCAAAAAACCTGGATTAAACTGATCCCATCAGAAGGGTGGATTTAGCGTGGATTTCATGCCTAAAATGTAATGAAAACTTAAAAAATGTATTAAATAATACTATTTTTGGATCATGCAGTATCTTACGATATATACTATTTATTCATAAGGTTTTAATTTTATTTGTTCATCCGTCAGGCTATAGTGATTATTGGCTTTAATGTATTTAGCCTTTCAGTATAGGCCTCCAGCAACGTAGAAAGAGTTTGGCCTCATAAAATAATCCCCCAAACAGCTGTGAAAATTGACCAAAAACAATCAATTTTATTTTGTCTCTAATTGATATATATATTCATCACAATGAAAAATATTTTTCTTTTTAGAATATTTATTAGTGATGCATGCAATGATTACAGAATAAACAAAAAATGCAAAGAATGGCAATGACTGATTTTTTAAATCTCTTTCAACAATTGCAAAAAGAGACTGAAAGGGCAGAAGCACAGCTTCGTCTGGCGGGGGAACAACTGACTCTGACCAAACTGCAGCAAACCAAGGCCAAGGACATGAGATCCGCCTCCTAAAAGCTACGCTCAGACAAGCTGCTCTCTCCACATCAGATGAGGAAGTCTGAGATTATTGTGGAGTTTTTGACATTAAGTCTTTTTTTTATTTACATCTATATTTGAAACTTATTATAAATATCCTCAATGTACAGTGTTTTAGGTCTCAGATGAGTGGAATGCTGGAAGAGGATGCGGTGTTGTTTTTCTTGTTTTTCTTATTTATTATTATTATTAATTTAATATTTATTAAGTTTTCATTTAAAAAAAATAAAGTTATGTTGACCCCACGCTGGCTATTCTACTTGTCGCTCTTTACATATCTATAGTTCTACATTGTGATTTCTTATCCTGTTTGAGCACTGGTAATCCAGATTTAGTGATCCTGAAAAGTTCCTATCCGGATCAGTTTGATCCAATTCGATGTTGCTCTGAAAAACTGGCTCAAAATGTAAGCTGGATTACGTGATCACGGATCGCAAAAACAGAATTACTAAATCTGGATAAATTTGATCCGGATTAAACCTTTTGAAAAAACGGGCCCAGGGCCTGGTTTTTTAAAAGTAATCCACTAGGATTTTGGATAAGGGATTGGATCAAATCTTGAAAATTGTTTTTTTAAAAGAAAAAACGAATTACATAATCGGATTAGATCACGTAATCTAATCTTGGTTTTGATCCAGATCAAACCTTTAGTTTGGGTTTTCCAGATCTTTTTTGTAGGATCTGGATCATTTTGATCCAAAAAATCTGGATAATGATTTCCTATCCTGTTTGAGCACTGGTAATCCAGATTTAGTGATCCTGAAAAGTTCCTATCCGGATCAGATTGATCCAATTCGATGTTGCTTTGAAAAACTGGCTCAAAAAGTAAGCTGGATTACGTGATCAAGGATCGCAAAAACAGAATTACTAAATCTGGATCAATTTGATCCGGATTAAACCTTTTGAAAAACCGGGCCCAGCAGCTGACCGTTACAGATACAGCATGCAGCACCGAGGACCGTCTATCTCTACAGCTTCAGACAGGGTTTTATGACAACCTTTGTAAATGTTTGCAATTAGGAATCCTTCTGCAGAAGACATGTCAGTGTTTGACGTAAACTGTTATTTTATGAAACATTTAATGTTGCGTGTTTATATGCATATTTTTATATATAATAAATGAATACACATTTAAATACATATGTTTGTGTGTTTTTGTTTCTCTGCTGAAGCACCGCAGTAAAAATTATCTTAGGGTCTCCTTTTGACCAGCACCAACTCTGGTTAGTGGGTTCCCACTTAGGAAGAGGTCAAATTTCATTTTTACTGTTGATCATCAGTTGGCACCATTAAATACTTTACATTGCCCCGTACAAAAGCGTGTCTGATTTTTATATGGAGTTCTGTGGAGTAAAACTGCAATTTATAGAGTACATGCATAAGTACACTTACTATGTTTACTATGTTCTGACAGCTGAGGTGCCTATTTTGTATTTTCTCCTACACATCAATATATGTGTGTAAAAGTCTCTCTTACAACCTCACACACTCACTAAACACCAAATAAAAGCAAGAAATCAAGCTTTTTTGAACTGTAACTGATGATCACCAGCAAAAATCACAAATCTTACCTCTTCCCAACAGGAAAAACCACCAACAATCAAGAATGCATGATTATACGCTGTCATGACGTTGCATTTAAAAATAATGGAAATCATTTGGGCAAAAACAGCCATGAACACAATGAAAGGGTGATAAATTTGCTCAGAGTGTATTGTTGAGTTTTTAAAAAATTCTAAAAGTATTTTCCCAAAATATGTGTCAACAAGACTTTGTCACCAAAAATCATCCCATTTGCTGAACCACAGAGAAAGTTGTTGGTAAATTAAGCCTCAAAATCAGCCCAGAGTGGACCAAAACTTCACCAACAGCACAAAAGGGTTAAACACCCCCAAATCCTTGATGGCATGGTTCTAAGAGGCAGTGCTCACTTCTGGACACAGGGGCAAGTGTAGCAAGTAGCAAGTGGAGATGTTTTGAACCTTCAGCTGACAGCCAGTGTAAGTGGAGAGGTAAGAGAGGTGTGACGTGGGCTCTCTTGGGATCATTGAAGACCAGATGAGCTGCAACATTTTGTTTGGCCAGGATTGATTAGATGAGCATGTCATCGGTGTAAACCAGAGATGCCCAAACTAGGGCCCGTGGGCCAAAGTGGATCCACGGTAACCTTTGATTTGGCCCCCCATCCCATCTGAGAAGAGAGGGAGAATGATGGGGAGTTTTGGGGGAAAGTCTTTAACAGAGATTGTCATTTCTAATCCAACATAACTTTATTTTTTAACTGTTGAGATACAAAAATAAACAAACTGAAATTAAATGTTTCAATGAAATGTTGTGAATGAATCAAATAAAATAATAGTCACTTGAAGGAGAGCAGACATTACAGAAGACATCAGCAAGCGAAGGCAAAGTGTATTTTAGGTGTTATAAATGGGATTGTTCATGTTTTATTGTAAGACTTTCATTCATTATAAAATGTATAATTATTAATACAATTAAAGAATTTGAAATGTTGTAAATTACAGTATTCAGTGAATCATGTAAATTATATAATGAATAATAATAATAAATTTGGAAATTACATTGACAATTTTACAGTTTGGTAGATTTACCTCCAGCTCACCACCCTCAGACGAGTTTAGTTTTTGGCCTTTCATAAGAAAAAGTTTCCCTGAAGCACCTCTGAAATAAACTTTAACTAAAAGTTTTAGATTGTGAGCAGGACAGCACACTGGTTCTCCCGCAGCATGTTTGTTCATCATTTCTATCTTAATGTGTCGATCATTTTCTTTTGTGTTTCTGTATTGTGTGAAGGTCAACCAGTCCACAGTTTATGCTGCTAAAATCTTTATTCAGTTTTGTTCATAAACTATGTACAATATATACACTGTGCTCACGTCGGCTCCAGGTCTCTTGGGTGAAGGTCTCTCAATGACGGGGTCTCTTCTGGTCGCCGTGCGTCTCTGGTGAAGATGGGGAGCGGGAACGTTTCCCTCTGGCGTCCTGGACTGAAGATGCTGCACCAGCTGAGGAAGAGGAGGGCAGCGGCTTGGTCTGGCAGGAGAAGGACGGCCTCTTTTTCTTCTCAGCAGCATAGGCCTCACTGAACAGATCGAGCGCAAACACACACAAGCAGACATAATGTGAGATTTTCACAAACACTAAAACATGCTGCAATGCCAAGTACAGTTTACTCACGCGTCTATGATGGGAATGACGTATTTGCCGCTGCCGTCCATCATGACTCCCTTTCGGTTTGGGTCGTCCACCTCCAACAGGAAGCTGCGGGGAATCCCTGTGCTCCTCCGGATGCGCTTGTGTGGAGCAGAGCTGCTGCCCTGTGAATTCATGAGTGACAGTCAAACGACAGAGCAAACAATCTGACTGATGGAGACGAGAGCTCAAGTTCACAGCAACCATAAGCTTAGAAAACCCAGTTACCCCTTTAGAGGGGCAGTGCCTAATGTGGTGTCCTGGGATCCCACAGTGAAAGCAGACATAGTTGGGTGGAAGAAGCCCAAGCAGTGTCATGGCCTCACTGAGGAACATCAGAACCATGAGAATCAGCTCTAACATTTCTCACAAACCAAACCTGTCAGTGTCTGAACGCTCACCTGCTGGAGTAGTAGCACAGACTGGACTGGTACATCACCGCTTTTAGCTTGTCCTCCTCTGATGCCTTTGCCTCAGCCAAATTCTCAGTCTGTTTCACAGGCATTTGCACATTAGAATTTTATTTTACTGGTCTGTTTAAGAAGCTGTGTGTGTGTGTGTGGGGGGGGGGGGTGTTTTACACTGAGTATTGATATTCTGCACTACATGTCATTATGACTCCTCAAATGCAAACACTGCAGTTCAATACAGAGCAGCACAGTGGGGTGAATTAATCATTTGTTCAATACCTTCAACAGCTGCTCCAGTGAGAGGAGTGAAGAATCACCTGTTTGAGAAGATTTAGCTGATGGTCCAGCTTGATGTCTGCAAAACAAAGGAGCTTGTGTGACTAAAACACCACAGACAGACTCAAACTCTTGATATAACATCTATCAGAGGACGATTGCGCTTATTTCACATGACTTACCCAACAAATCTTCTGTTTGATGACTTCAGTCCAGCAGCAGGGACCCGTCTGATGATGACAGATGTGTTTTTGGGGATGAGAGCATCATCATCTGTGTATTCTGACAGCAAAATAAAGTTTATATATTAATAATCATTTACCATAGTATACTTTGAGTGCCATTAGCATTTTAAAACACTCAAAACATCACTATATGTCACCATCAGAGTCATGATAATAAATCACAGCTTCTACAAGTCTGTCTGATAACACATCTAATGTTAGTGTATTATAGTTTAAGTGGCTTTTCCTCATCTCACCTTCATCAGTTTGGGCTTTGCTGATCTTCAGCTGGCAGAAATTCAGCCTCTCGCGCCTCATGATCTGCCGCTTCAGCTCTCCCGCAGTGATGTTGAGGCCCTCAAACTGGAGCGAGTCGTAGGAGAGTCGACTCTGAAACCTGTAATGAACACAAGACATACTGAATACAAACCACAGTGTGATAACAAGGGTCAAACCTGAATGATGGGAGAAGCAGACGATCAATCGATGTATCCAACAATCAATAATATCAATAATCTGGGAATCAGTAGCCACGAAGGACGCCGAGATCAGATGCCAATGAGCGAAGTTCAAAACAACACAAAAAGAACCGTTGCCATGGATGTTGACGATCACGTGACGAGGCGCTAAAAACTTCCGCGTTATTTTCTCATTAATAATAGTAAAATCATTACAATGATAATAATAAAATAAACAGCAGAACAGTTGGCCATCTCTGAATAATACACAGTGGCGTTTCCTTACACGAATGGTTCAGGACTCTGTATAGAGTCGGGCGAGTCACTGAATCAGTGATTCGTGGCTGAATGAATCACTTAAAGCTTCACTCGATTAAAGAGGTCTCTTGCTGCCACCTATTGGCGATTTGTTTTTCCGTTTTAAAGTAATTTAACACTTTTTAAAAACACCTTAAAATGTATTTTCTACAAATGTTCATCTCTGTATGTTAAAATGAATTAAAACTCTCTAAGCTCATCATTTATTTGTTTGCCCTTGATCTTCATTATGTGTTACAGTTTTTTTTCCAATTGTTTTGCCACAAGTTTCAGAACCCTGATATCAATTAAAAAAACTCTAGACACAAAATCCTAAACAGTCACTACTTTTAACACTCTCCAGTGTTCTGCATACAGCATTCATTCCCTTAAAGAAGTCTTGCATTTGTAGGATCATTGATTCACATAATCCTTTTATAATACAAATACTACAGGAACACTACTTTAGATCACCAGCTGCACACAAGATGTACATCGCTTCAATAAACAATCATTAACAATCATTAAATATTGTTGTTTAAAATATATGATACAGGTTTCATTATGGTCTATAAGTGTAAAGGGAAACAGTGCAGACAGTGGATATACTGAACTAGTTTTATTCATTCCATCATAATGTAGGTTTACTGTATTTTTTTTCTCACTTCACGTCCCCATATAGAAAGCTGAATAATGGCATGATATATGGTCCCATCTGCAAATTACATTATTATAAAATGTCATAATAGTCAAAAATTTGTCAAAATAGTGAAAAAAAATCATTGTTTATATTTTTTTCAACCATATCATATATATATATATATATATATATATATTTGTAGGGGTAAAATATATAACATAATGGATCATATATATATACGTAACATATATGTACATATTTGTAATTCTAATATTTTAACAAATGGCAATATTTTGACATGTGTAACATATTTTATATATGTAAAATTCATATGAACTATTATGTCACATATGTAATTTGCATATATTTCTATATATCAGATTTCTATTTTGGGATTTTGTGTTACCATCAGTCTGGTCTTGTGGATTTGGTCACGGGTTCTCCTCTACATTTCAGTGGTGTTTTCATTACTCAGAAATCTTGGAAAGAACCTTCTGTCAATGTAAATCCAGGCCTGACATTGGTCTGCTGTGACTGGGCTTTCTTACAGTGATGTCAAATATATAAACATTGTCTGTAAAAGTGGTACACAGAACAAAGAAACCATAAATATGGACTAAGGATGAATAAAGATGACATCTATAGATAATGTAGTTCAGTTGGGTCATCTTCTGTGGTAACTGATGTCATTTGATCTATCCTGATTATTTCATCATCTAAACATGTAATATTGTACATCAGTTTCCCCACATCAACAATAATGCAGCAGTTATTCATCATTTTGAGTGCTTGTATCAGTTGATAATAACATCACGTGAAGTAAATTAATACATGGTTATTTCAAATGTAATGTTTGAGTTACATTTTGAAATGGGATCAATTTGAAGTTTAATTGTGTTATATTGAAAAGGTGATCTTAGTTCAATGAATAAAGTATGTTTGACTTGTGTGTGTTGTATCCAAGCATTTGAAAAAAGAGTTAAAAGTTTTGCAAAAATGTACAATTTTGGCAAAGGTTGTGAATTTTGTGTCTAGACTTTTGAAAATTGACACCAAAGTTCTGAAATTTGTGGCAAAACAATTGTAAAAACCTGTAATAAAAAAAGAGAAAGGATAAATCTTATAGATGATGAGCACAAATCTGAAAGCATCTGTGGATCTGTCACAATCCACTCATTTATTATCATTACTGTGGGTTTCTTCATCACAAAAATAAGCCCATGTAAGAATTGAAATATTGCAAATATTTTTGATGTCTTTGACAATTCAAAACATGAGCTGAAAACAGAGACTGTTGACCACAACCCAGCAGGTGGGAATGCGGGAAAAACCAATTCCTGCTGCATTTGCATCTGAGTCTGCTGAAACTCGGCTTCAACCACCCCAACTCACACATATGGTCATTTCAATGTTTGAATGTTCTAGATTAACCTAAGTGACTTTATCTATCATGTTTGATATCATTTGAAATGTCTCAGTGCGATTGGTACAATGGTCTCATTCTCTCAGAAATAGACATAATCAAAACAATAAATATATAACTTCAGGCATCTTTTGAACCACTGTGAAGGGTGTGACTTTTCCACAGGCAGCACTAAATGCAAGTGCCTTTTGTTATGCACACACCCCTGTCCTTGAGGGAATTCTTGGATTACTTAAGGTAAGGTTTGAGAAAGGCTCAGCGCGATTCTGCTTACCCCGATCAGCCCGTAACATGGAGCTTATGCTCCATGTTATGTATATTTTAAAGTCAGGAATGCATCTTTTAATCTTGGATTTATCTTTGGTAACTTGATGTATTTATTGATCTTTTATGAATTGACTGATTGAATTGGCATAATACACATTTACCTGACTAATAAATTGTTATGTTTTGAATTATTCAAACTGTCCTCGTGTTATTATCACTGATAAATGTGGTTGTCCATAGCACTACAAGCCACTGTACAGGTTAGTAACGGACTAAAACATGTTAGACGGAGCAGTGTGGCACGCTATACAATGTTGCTAGAGATCCGACTAACATATTGGCATTAATTCAAGTATACTTAGACTGTAAAAGGCCAACTATGAGTTTTCTATTTAGAACAACAAAATATTGTTGAAACTAATCTAAATGTGGGTATTTAGGCCTTCATCTACAAACTTATAATCCTGTGCGATTATTATTAAAATACTTTGTCTTGATTAAGTAGATAACAGATCTATTGGGACCACATAAAAAATCTCCTAAATTGAGTAAGTATAGGGTTCTGCCACTTTAGGAGAGTGGTTAATCGCCTCTGTTTAATGACCAAGACTGACGAGCTTGTATTAAGAGATTGTATACCCGGCCGGTGCAAGACTCGAGATGCTATAGGAATCTGAGTAAATGAGAATAAGGTATAATAACAAATCAAAAGAATATTCAATCATAATCTAAAATAATATGAAAGGAAACAAAATAATCTTATCAATGTTTTATAATTGGAGTCAGATAAAACGAGGATAAATATATTAATATTCTAAACCACCTCATACTAAAATTGGAGTCAGATATGAGTTAAGTTTAATATAAATCAACATTGTGCACTGGAAAGACTGAACATGCAGTGAACCTTCATCCACCATTGGATACCGTCATTGGACCAACTGGGTGGACCCTACACCCATATACATGTAAATAAAACACCACAAGCAGATTTAAAACATCAGAATCTGCAGAACAAGGATCAGCACTGACCTTTCCAAGAAGAGCGACTGCAGCAGGCTTGAACTGAAAGGCTGATTCATTTTATTGAGTGTTTCTAATTCAAACTCTTTTGTTTAGGGTTAGTGATTCAGATCTCATTTAATGTTTACAGAATAATGAAAAATGATTTACAGACCTAATTTGCATCAATGAATTAAAACAAAACAAGAAGACTGCAATGAATAATCCCTGATATAAGGATCATTTCTAATCATTTATCAGATTTACCATTGTTTTAATTATTACGAAAAATCTGTGAAATGCAAATTTTACTCATGCAAAAAAAATATTACAGACAATGGATTATCAAGTTATGAATTCCAATAGTGAAGGTGGCGAGGCAGTGGCGCAGTTTCTGTGTGGAGTTTGCATTTTCCCCCTGCCTTCACGTGGGTTTCCTCCGGGTGCTCCGGTTTCCCCCACAGTCCAAAGACATGCGGTACAGGTGAATTGGGTAGACTAAATTGTCCGTAGTGTATGAGTGTGTGTGTGTGTGGATGTTTCCCAAAGATGTGTTGCGGCTGGAAGGGCATCCGCTGCGTAAAAACTTGCTGGATAATAGTGAACTATAATGCTATTGTAAGTGAATGATTAGCACAGGTTATTAAAGCATTAGTTTTTTTTTTTTTTTTTTTTTTAACAAGAACCAGCATGTACAGTTTTCTTATACAATACAATACAATCACTTTACATTTCCTAACAAGAATGAAATAAGTGAAAAAACAAAGAAGAGAAAAAAACCAAAAAAAAAAAAATAAAATAACAGAGGAGAGGGTACATAATTATCAAATTACATACAAATATGTTTCGCACATTTTATAATTTTAGTTATTTACAAGAGTTAGTAATGCACTTTTTTTTTTCACAGGAAATGCATATATAC